GAAAATTCTGAAATTCAAAATTCTCTAAGTCAATAGGCACACCAGTAGTCAACTGAGAGATATGCTGGGGTTTCAATTTCTAGCTTGAGTATTCTACATCCAGACATCTGACATTTATACAATGAAATATAAAAATAAGCCTCTGGTAAAATATTATGAAACAGACTCCTTTCTAACTTCAGACATCAATCCCAAACTTTCCTTTTGTCATCTTGAATTTAACAGCAGGAATTGTGCACATTACTAAAGACTGGCTTTAGACCCACAGTGGAAAAAAAAATCAGTATCTTGGTAGTTAACTCCCAGTCTCCTCCCAGCAATGCCAACAGTAGATTTATCCACCCACAGACTGGAAATAGGTTTGGTTTGTTTTGCTCACACAACAGGACAATGGATCAGCAGACAGCTCGTCCATAATGTCAGCATTACTGACACCATGGGTGGTAAATCCCCTTAATGCAAATAGTTGTATCCCAAGCTTTCAAAGGGATGCTTGTCTAAGCTTAAGAGGACCCATAATTTTAAGACAGACATTTCCTTCAGAGTTAAGGACTCCAATGGAGCAGCACTAAATTTTGTCTGGAATCCTATAAAAAAGTTAGACTTTTAGAAAATGGATCAACAAAACTGAAATAAGCTTACCATATTGTTCAATTTGAGTATAAAGCAAAAAGAATTCTAAAACAAATAGTCAATTTTTGCTTTCTTGCTTACCAAAAGTAAGAAATAGTTTAATAGGTATTTTACTTCAAATAGATTATTTAAGCCAGCATTGAATCTAAGATTGAAAATTCAGTCTTCAATGTTTATTAACCAATTTTAATTTTTAACATATGATTCATTCACTCAACACATTCTTTCAAGAATTAATTGAGTCCTGCGACAGAGACTGCTTGTTGCTTATTCTAATATCCACTGTCCCTATTCTAGAAGCCCTGAATTTCAGCTAGGTACATGGATGCTGAAATAAAGACCAGATCCCAAGTCTCCCTTTCATCTAGGCTCTTACCTGGAAGCGGGGACTGGGGGTAACCAGAAATGTTACGTAGCAGCTTTTGAGAAATAGTCTTAAAAAGCAGCTGGTATATATTCTTTGCCCTGTCTTCTCACTGTCCTCCACCCTGCTGTTTAGGATCTGTTTCTAATGGAAGGGGCTATCTCTGATGCAAAACAATGAGACCCACATCCTGGGGATGACAGAGTGGAAGGCTAGAAGCAGCATGTGTTCCTGAGGACTTTGTGGGTCAGAGCCCCCACACCAGCCCCAGACTGCCTACCTCCAGGCTTTTCATGAAGAGAAAAAATAAAGTCCTATCTTTTAAAGTCACTTGTATTTGGGGTGTTCATATTACGGCAGTGAAACCTAATCCTAACTGATACAAGCACAATCTGTAAAATAAGCGTTGAAATACAAGATGAGTAAGGCAAGATTCCTTGCACACAACCCCAAATTCTAGCAATGAATACTGAAGTCCAAAGAACACCAGAGTGGATTATGATAGATGGGTTTTGCCTGTTTGTTATGGTTTCAAACCAACTCTCTTCTCCTGGTAGCAACAGCCACTTTTCTTTGGAGAAGCTCTTCTCCCATATCATGAGATCAGATTTTAATTCCTGTAGCCCCATTTCTGAGCCAATCTGTTATTTGGGGGTGGGGGGGTGGGGAATGTAATCCAAGCCTGGCCAATTAAAGTACTGGCCATTGTAACTGATTCAGGAATGATCATATAAATTAAACTCAGCCATTTAGAATCCTGCTGTATTAACAATCATCACTATAATATGCTGCATAACAAAACAACCCACAACTCAGTGCTTACAAGAACAAGCATCTATCAGGGGTCCACAGGTCCACTGGGCCTCCCTAGCTTTAGGCTGCTGACTGGACCCAGGTCTGCTCCGCATGTTTCTCATCCTCCTCGGACCGGCAACCATCTGGGTGAAGTTTTCTCAGTAACACATGGCAGAGGCACAAGAAGCCAAGCTAAGTCACACAAGCACATTTGAGGTCTCTGCTCATGTCACATTGATTAATATTCCACTGGGGTGGGGAAACACATTCTGCTCACTGTAGGGAACTATGACATCACATGGCAGAGGGAGGGTATGAAGAAGTGGAAATAATAATACAGTCAATTATGCACACATCTTGAGTTTCCAGCACCTTTAAAGTCATGGTACTAGAAGGCCCTAAGCCTGAAGCTGCATGTGCCAATGTTCCAGGCTAAACAGATGAAGCGAAGCACATCTCCAACAGCAGAGAATAAGTTAACACATGAAGAGAAGCAAAGACAGCAGAGGTAAGAAATGGGTGGGGAGACACACCAAGTGTACTGAGTCCTCTACTTTATATTGGGAACATGCCAGGAAAAAATACCGAGAATAGCAGTGGCATGAACAAAAGTTGTGGGGATTCAGAAAAGTGAGAAGATTAAAGAAATTTTTGAAGCAGACATTGATCAGAATGATGAGCAAGAGTCATTTTCACCATAGCAGACACAGAAATGATTTTCAGAAAAGAAAATTACATAAATGCTCTAGCAGTCATCATTGGTTTATGTACCTAATCTCTTTTCTTAGCCTTCTGTCACAGAGCCGAAAAAACCTACTCACTTTCTTAGAATCTGTTGTTGTCATGTAGTTTTGATGATTAGACAGAACAGAAACCTGCTGGGGTCTCTCAGGAAAGCTTTTCCTTCCTTGCAAAAATGGAAGAAGCAACTTTCCCTCCTACTTCTTCCCCTACCTCTTCCATCTCCATCTTCCTGTCTGGAAGACAGCTTGCTCCCTAACTGGAGGGCAGCCATTCTGCTCTTGAGAAGGAAAGCCCGAATGGCTGCAGAGAGGGCGGTCTTGACGCAATGAGCCAGTGAACCACTGCCAGCAGCTGGCTCCACTGATCTCGTTTGCTGAAACAAATAAAACCTTTCCTGATTCAGATGCTGTTGACCTGGTTTTCTGTTACTCACATCTGAAAGGATTCCTAACTAACTGAAGCCTAAAGTAAAGGTAATGTCAGTTTTAGGACAAGAATCAATTATACAGCTAACCTTTGTATACCACCCTACAGTTTATAACACCTTTTTACTCACTTTATTGAGTTACTAAATTAGAAAGGATTACAATTAATTAAAGATAAAATCTTTGACTATCAGAGTAAGTAAGTTAGGTTTTTTCAAATGAGACAGTGAACTAGAAAGTCCACTATCACTGTCTAAATGCTAAATAGATTTATCTATTACTGCTATGAGAAAGGCAAGAAGCCATGAGAAGTTTTTGAGAAGGGGATTTCATTTGTGTTTATTTCATAATGCACTGTGAAGGATGGACAGGAAAAATAAGACTGAACCAAAGAGATCTGAGAAGCTTTTGTTTGATGAATGAAGGATTCACTGACAAAACAACAATGGACTCTAGCGAGGATGGAGTAAAGAGTACCAGGATAGCTCTTCAAAGTTATAAAGCAGGGTAAAACATATGAAATACCTATTTTCAGACACTGTAACACAGGCAGAGCAAAAATGCAATCCCAAAAAGTAAGGAAACAAATGAGGTGAGGCCTACAAGTGCCCTGGCTTTATGCCTGGCGGTACTTTCAGACCATGGTCCATGTAAGCAGATTCAAGAAAAGCTGGGCTGAGGAGATACAGATTGAGTCTGGGGAGTATGAGAGGTCTGGAATTTGCAATAAGGAGTCCTAGACAGGAAAAACTATACACAAAAAGAGTTTCTGAATACAATTTAAGTCTTTGCCTGACTACTAAGCTGTCAGCATACAGGGTGTAGGGTGAAGCCCCAAGATGCTGGGCAAAAATTAACTACCAGGGGAAAAATAATTACTGGGGTACTACAATCTGACAACTACTGGAGCTCACAGGGCAAGTAATCATTTGAGTTTTATCCAACCAGAGTACAGAAACTTTACTGAAGGCTTGTGATACAGAAAGCCTGAGCCACTCCTTGACAAGAGGACTAGAAAATTCTTGTAACAAGGACAGTCGAGACTCTCACAAAGTTTAGTAAGCTACTAGGGTAACAGCTTCCCAAAACAAAGCCCAACACTCTTTAAAAATTCAGACATTCAATGTATTCGTTTTATAATGCTGCCATAACAAAGTGACACAAATTTAATGGCTTAAAACAATACCATTTATCATCTCATAGTTCTGTAGGTAACAAGTTCAGGTACAATGCAATTCAAACCCTTCATTTAGAATCTCATGAGGCTAAAATCAAAGTGATGGCAGGGCACTGGAATGAACTTCCAAACCCATTTACTTTTTTGGCTGAATTCAGTTCCTAGCAGTGTTAGGACTGAAGTCCCCATTTCCTTGCTGGCTGCCAGCTGGGTGCCAGTCTTTGCTCCTAGAGCAATGGTGTCTCAGGTCCCCCTCATGTTTCCAACCACTTTGACTTCCTCTTCTGCTACATCTCTCTGACTTTAGTTGGAGAAAGTTCCTTGCTTTTAAAGGTCCATGTGATTAGACTGAGATCGCCCCAATAGCAGGATAATCTCCCTACCTGAAAGCCCATAACCTTAATTATATCTGCAAAATCTCTCTTGCTGTGTCACATACATATTCACAGGATGCAGGGACTGGGTGCTACTCTGCCTACCACACTCAACAATGTCACTTTTACAATAGTCAGCATCCAATCAAAGCATATCATAGAAGCAAGAAAATATGACTCATACTCAGGAGGGGAAAAAAATCTGTTAGTAAAAGCAGGCAGCATGCTAATACAAAGACACAGAGGTAAAAGTAAAAAGACTACAAAAGATATACATAGAAACAACTAATCATGAGAGAGTAGAAGTTCCTGTATTAATATTGGAGAAAGTAGATTTCAGGAGAAGAAATATTACCAGAGATAAAAAGTTGTTCAGTGATAAAAAGGGTCAAATTATCAAGAAGAGGAAACAGTCTTAGCTATGTAAAATGTTATAATCACTTGGGAAAGCAGCTGGCAATTTCTTTTAAAAGTAAGTGTACACTTACCATACAAGTCAGCAATTCCACTCTGGGGTATTTGCCTAAGAGAAAGAAAACATAAACACATAAAAATATTTTTACATGAATATTCATAGCAGCTTTATAATAGTCCCCAAACTAGAAATAACTCAAGTATTCATCAAAAAGTGAATGGATAAACAAATTGTGGAATACTATTCAGCAATAAAAAGGAACTAGTATTACAAAACATCACTGTGAATCTCAAAACCATGTTAAATAAATGAAAGCAGCCAATCACAAAAGAATACATACCATTTAACTCTACATATATACAGCTCTAGAGCAGGTAAAACTTGTCCTTAATGACGTAAAATGGATAAGATGTTGGGGGGCTTGACTGAGAAGGAGCATAAAGAATTTTGGGGTTCTGGATATGTTCTATATCTGCATTGAGATGGTGGATACACTATTGTACACATTTGACAAAATTCAGCGACTGTACTTTTAAAATAGGAAAACTTTATTTCCGTAAGTTATACCCTGATGTGTAGACTTTAAAAAAATAATTAAAAAATAAAAAAGGTAGAGTTTTAAGCAGAGTTAACGGGGTAAGATGCCACAGAAAGAGAACACTGAGAAATGAAAAGAACTTATTCAATACAAGGAAACTTCGTGATTTTAGAAAGCACTTTCATTGAAAAGATGGATAGAATCCAAGATGCAAGACATTTTAGTCATATTTATCTTGAATGTAAAATTCAAAAAGAAAACATACAGACTTTTCTATTTCAATTGTGCTTCTCAAACTTTAATGTGCATGAATCACCTGGAGGTCTTCCTAAAAGGCAGGTTCTGATTCAGAAAGTCTTGGGTGAGACTTAGTCTGTATTTCTAACTAGATACAAGGTGAGGCCAATGTTGCTGGTTCATCTCTTACACTGTAAGTAGAAAGAACACAGACCACTCTTCTGAGGCACTAGCGGTTTATTTATAACGTGCTAATTTGGTCTGGAGGTTCCCATGATCTGTGGAATCCATTCCTACCATCAGTTACAGGGAGCCTGACAACCCAGCCCCCCTTTCTCTTTGTTAGTGTAACCAGAACAGGTGCTAGTGATGCTCTGGAAAATAACAGTGATTTTACATCAATCAGCAGCTTCGGGTTCAAATTCCAGCTCTGTTTCTAAACCAATTGATAATCTGGGTTCCTAATTTGCATTCCTAGGATGAAAACGAGAGAACGGTTCTCGGTTCTTGTTTCTCTTCTCAAGGCTGTTTGAGGAGGATTATAATAGAAAACGTAACTGAAAATATTACATGAACTATAATCTTTAAAAAAAAAAAAGGTTTAAAACGTCAAGCAAAGTGGGCAAAAGCAGTCTTAAGTACCTCACAGGTTTTTTTTTTAGAGAGGCGGGACCTAAAATAAGAGGTGGGGCCCCAGGATGATCCCCGTGGGCGTGTAAGGAATGCGCCACATTACAGGCAGGGGCGCCCCGTGTCTAAAACAATCTGTAAAAAATAAGCTTCTGCATTTAAAATTATCCTAAATTCTGAAACTTGAAACACGAACTTTTCCGTCATTAAATATTTCAACTGGCACCTAACTCAAAGTTCGGTGATACTATTTTCCTTCAGTCTACTGCTTTCAGACAAAGTTCTACCCACGCATCTCGCTCCCTCTCTCGCATCCACTCGTCACTCTCCGGCCCCCGCGCCCCGCGGCCCCCGCCCGGGGCAGGAGTTTCCACTACGCTAAAGGGGGAGGTGGTGACGGACTCCTCTATCTACTTGCCTCGAGGAGGGGGCGTGTGAGGAGCCACCTTCCACAGGACGGTAAGAGACCCGGCGCCGACACGCGGCATCAGGGGCAAACGCGGGTTGAGGAGGCGGTGTCCGCGCAGCAGGCGGGGAGGCGGGCCGGGGACCGACGCGCCGGCGCGCGGCTTCGCCCTCCGCCGCGCCGCCCCCCGCCCCGCACCCCCGGAGCCTCGGAGGGATGGCACGGGCGGGAGGGGGCGGGGCCGCGCGGCAGCCTTCTCCGCGGCGGCCGCCTGCGCTGCGGCCGGAAACAATAGTGGAGGAGCCCGAGCCGCGCGGATCGGTTGCAGCGGCTCGCGAAGCCGGACGGTAAAGACCCCGCTTCCCCGCCCCCGACCCTCCTGCGTCCCGGTCCTCGGCCTCGCGGTCCCGCCGCCTCGCACTCCGAGCCCCGCAGCCGCTGGCGCTGTTCCGCGCGGGGCGCCCGGACGGACGGTCGGGGAGACCGACACGGGTCCGCGGCAACCTGAGGGGCGGGCGCGCGCCCCCAACGCCGGAGGCCCGGCTGGGACCCGACTCCCCGAGACGCAGAGTCCGGGAGGACCGGCTGCGGTGGCCCTCGAACGCGTTCTCTCTGGGCGGGAGGAAGCCCAGGGCGAGGGGACGCGAAGCTCCCGCCGGCCGGGCTCCGGGACCGCCGGCTGGGCTTGGCCACCCCGCCTCCGGCCGTGCCCGAGCGGCACAGCGGAGCCGCTGCCCGGCCTTCCGTGTGGATCCTCTGGACGCTCCCGGGACCCCTCCCTAGTGTTCACTTTTCCACGTGCATTTTTTTCTGCCCCGGGACCTCGGATAGGAAACCTTGCTACGCCGAGCTAGCGAAACGCCTCTAAGGTTCCCACCATGAAGTTAGCGAAGCGGTGTCCCGAGCAGGTCTTTCTTCCTGCATTTAACAGCGTTAAGTAGGTTGACAGACCTGGCATCTGAAAAGGCCTCGCTACTAAGCTCTTTCTATGCCTGGTCAGGGATGGGGGGCGCGGGCTCGAATACCAGAAAACTGCTTTCCGCCAGATCCCCCCCCAACCAAATAAAACACAGGATCAAAAGAGGCACTTAGGCATAGTGTCACGGCTAGGCTTTAAGTTTTAGTAGCTTTGTGTCTTTGCACAGTAATATGATATTGAAGTACAATTATGGCGATGCTTGTTTGATGGGGCTGTTCCATTAGATAAACTGAACAGCATCCTTCTCTCTTCCTAGAAGTGCCTAATACTGCTGTAATGGCAAGTTCTTGAAATTGTGTAACTTTCCTTTTCTGTTTCTTAATAGGGGCACTATGAACGAGGAAGAGCAGTTTGTAAACATTGATTTGAATGATGACAACGTTTGCAGTGTTTGTAAACTGGGAACAGACAAGGAAACACTCTCCTTCTGCCACCTTTGTTTTGAGCTAAATATTGATGGTAAGGACGCAGTATAGATTAATTTTATGGCATGAACTTTACAGAACTACTTTATGCTGAACCAGGTATAAGCTAAAACTAAAATTTCTTGAATGATTGTAAACTGTGACATGAATGAAGTGTGGAGATCTGTTAAAGATAAAGAGTTCCTGGAAATGAAGCGGAAGTTAGCACTGCTATGAATTTAAGAGAAACTTTTTTTTAAACTCCTACAGTGTTAATCCAGTTTTGCTAATATAAAGATGGGGTATGAGTATTAACTGGTAAACTTTTCCGGTTTCAAAGCTTATTAAGTTGGCAGATTTTAATACAATTGTTTTTGTGTTTGTTTTTGTTTTTTATTTGTTTTTTAATATTAAGAACTAACATAACAGACTAAGAGATAGAAAACAAACTTACGGTTACGAGGGGGTAGAAGGGGTAGGAAGGGATAAATTGGGAGTTTGAGATTTGCAAATAGTAACTACTGTATATAAAATAGATAAGCAAGCTTGTACTGTATAGCACAGGGAACAATATTCAAACTAAGAAGGCTTTTAAATTTTCTTAATAGTATCTCTAAGAGTATATGAAGAGTTCTCCAAATACTAAAAAAAAAAAAACTTCTATTATTAAGTGTTTGGTGTGCAGTTAATGTGTCCATGGATATCTGTAGTTTGTCCCCAAGAATCATGTGGAATATGTTGCTTTAATCTTGATGTTGCCATGATAAATTCTGATTTTTTTTTAATATTTATGAGTCATACTAAAAAGATGCTTAATACTCTGGCAATGAAAGTTTGCCTGCCATTTGAATTTTGAATTGTAACATATCAGTAGAGAGATTCTGTTACACCTTTAGATTAACTTTAATCATCTTGACTTTTTATATTATGTAGGAAAGATCAAATGTTCCTTCAGTTAAAAAAAATGGGATTATCTACCTTAAGATCCCTCTTAGGACTTGCTTTTTAGAAATTGTTGTAGACACCAAATTAATATCTTTAGATACTCTGTAGTAAAAGTCAAAATTACAACCATAAGTAGACTACTGAAAACATGTAGAATTAACTATATGACATTCATTTTCCATTTAAAATCATATTGGTTATGACAGTTTTGCCATTGTACTCTCAGAATTGTAGTTGCTGAACGTGATAATCAGTGGAAGATCATGGATTTCCTCTAAGTTCCAAAAAGTATATATAACTGGCTTCGGTAAATATAGTAATTATGACTGATTTCAAAGGAATGACTTAAAAACATGATTCTTTTGTAAATTTAAATTACCATGTCCTTAATTATGCTAGAGTGAAAGATCTGAATTTATGGTTTTTTTAGAAATACAGTTGGCCTTTCATATTATAGATTTTAATTTTAGATGGGCAGAGGCATTAGAAATGACTCAGCCCAAACCTGTGTTTATACTGAGGGAAACTGAGAACTAGGTAGTTGGACTGTTCAGGGTTGCTAAAAACAAGCTGTTGTTATTTGCCAGGCACTGTGTACCAAGCACGTTACATGGATTATCTTATTCCACTCAAAATAGCTCTGAGATGACTATTATTATCCATTTTAAAGTTGATGGAGCCTAATCTTCAAGACTTAAAAAATGCATTTTGAAGTTGCACGGCAATAAATGACAATGCTGCGCTTTGAAGCCTGGTCTTCTGGTTCTAGTGTATGTGATTTTAATTCCATTGATCGATTGTCAATAGTTATTTTACTTGATAGAACTCATATGAGAAACCTGTTCCCCTGAATCCTAATTGCTGACTTTGATATTCCATCAGCCAGCTTTTCCTACCAATGCTTCCTGCTAAATCATCATTAGTGGTGTTCGTGCTGTGATAGAATGTTTCTGCAGAAACCTAAACTTTCATATTTGTTTTTCCAGTTTCTTTTAATAGTGCCTTTTAACTGGTTCTTCATCACTATATAAAAAATATACAGATACTCCTCAGGTACTATCTTTATGAATATTTCATCTCTGATAACATTTATCTCAATTATAAGCTTGTCATAAGTCCTACGTTGTTTAAAAAATAGTTGGCTTTATCTTAAAAGACAAAAATAATTCTCAATTTGAATTAGTATTGTTTCCTTTTATAGTCTACGTACACTCAAGGTTTTAGACTTTTAAATGCTAATTAAACCTTCATGAGAAAAATTATTTTAGAATTAAATTTTCTTCCCAATTTATCTGAAGTCAGTGCTCACAAATAATATATTTCATATTTACTACAGAGATAAGCTTGTGCATTATAACCATTTTAATATCATAAGATTTTTTTTAATCTTAGAAATTTTAGGGAAAAAGGAGGGAAATGAGAACCCAGAATTCCACAAAATTTCAGTTTTTATATCAGTATACAGATTTTTAAAAATCAGTGAAAACAATGTGATAATAAAGTAATCAAATACCTGAAAAATAACTAGGTATATTCTTTGTCTATGTCAGTAAACCTTTTAAATGTTTTTGAAGTTTTCTTTCCCCTACCAAATTTTCAGCACAGTGCCAGTCAATAAATGTTACATAAGAAAGAGGGACTTTAAAAAATACGACATTTAACTTTACTCGTTTGATATAACTTTTTTGTAGAATGGTACTGTGGCTGTCCCTTGGTTTCTTAGCTTACAAATTGCTGAGTTTTCTCCAAAGCTTTCTATTCTTTTTTTAGCTAAGAGGCTAAGTTAAAAATTCTCTTGGAATTTTTAGGCTAGTTTTGAGTCCACAGTTAAGCTGAAATACTTCACACCTTTTGAATTGTTGCTTATGTCAGATCAAAACTGGTCTAATCAAATTGTTTAAAACTGTGTGCATGCATGTATTTATAAAATGAAGACGGAAAAAGAAAGAAAGAACAAAAGACAGTTTAATCTTGTAGGAGAGATTTCATATTCTGAGCATGGTTCTAAGTTGCCTTTTTTCTGTGACTTTACAGTACTTAAAAGAAAGTAAGTACCTACATACATATACTTCCAAGCCGCAGGTGATACAGTTCAAGGACCTAAGAAATGCACTTTAAGGAGACTGATATTTTTTTGGAGGGGTATGGTTGTGGGGGGCATCTGTAATTCACCATTAGAATTAATTGTCTACTTCTAGGATTAGGAGATAGATGCATAAACTTCTTAATACTTACGGCCTGTCCTTGGCACTGAGACACTCTACACTTTTTATGCATTTATGATCAAATACAATAATATGCATCATAGTTGATGGTACTCAAATCTCTAAACTTATTTACTCTGCCATTCCCTAGACTTTTAAGGCTGGGAGGAACGTAGCCCAGGGTGGTCAGGAGCCATAATAAAACTCAACTGTAATAAAACAATGTGAGAAATGAAACTAAAGATCAGGGGACGAGGCAGAGGTCCAGGGCTCCAATCTGTTACTTCATACTATCAGTTTTCATTTTGTGCCAAAACTATGCAAATAGTATTTTTACTTTTCTCTAATAATTGACTTCCTTTCCTTTCTGTAGAGACAAACTTTTTTATAGGACAGAATCGGTGCCTCTTATGCCAAAGTTTTCAGTGTACATTGATCTTGCTAGTTGATTAGTATTACCAAGGCTTACTAGTCTACCTTGGACTGTATGAGCCATCTCAGACTTCATTCTCCCCTACTTTGTTGACCTTTCCAGGAACTTTTCTAGAAACAGACCCAAATGCAGATCCTTAGTAATCTTTCCAGCAAGAAAAATCTGAGGGCATTTTCTCTTGGTTGAGGCACTGGTTTCACCAGTGCTTACTTTTAATCTTTCTTCCTTGATTCTTTGTGCCTTTGACCGAAACACTGGTCAGTAGTCAGAGAGCAGTTTGAATGTCAATGTTAAATCCTTGATTTAGTTTGAATCAAGACTATATTAACTACTCAACAGCTCTTGTTTTGTCTTGCTTCTGGCACACCAGCGTCTTTCCACTAAGTAAAGGCCCAACACTTTACTTGTGGTAGGGAGGCTGAATATTGTTAACTCAATCTGGCATTAACCTCTTTCTCTTGTTTCCCATAATGGCAAACATTATATCTTGCTGTTCACTAAAAAAGCACTTTTAAGTATAAAGTGTAATATGACTTTTGAACTTTAGCTTGGCTACCTTTGATATACTTAAAAATACAGATACGTATTTTTCATTAACTATCTTTTAATGTCACTTTAAATAAATTTGAACACTTTTTAAATGGCTCTGATAGTAAAACTTTAGTATTTGGACAGAAGTAGGGAGGGATGGAAGTGAAATGTAGATTTAATTGATGATAACTTTAAATTATAGAATATTTTTTAAAAAATTAAAACTAGGCTTATAACAACATCTAGTTAAGATCTGTGACTTAACTAACAACCCACATCTGAGGAGCCAGATTCCAGATTTCCTATCTCTTGTCCTAATTATGATGACCTCTTTTTAGTTACTCCCAACTTGTTCTCCCTTTAACTTTATTAAACTTTCTAATTTTAAAGTTTAGGATGAATTTAAAAGATACTGAGTTGCAACTAGAAAAATCAGCTACAGAGAGGCCTTTTCAGTAATAAAAGGTTGTACCATGCTGAAGACAAACTATTTGAACTGCAACTGTAATGCTCTGGTGATTCCTCTAACCAAGGAGTTTGAACTGGAAGGGATTTTTAACAAAATGAGGCAGTGTATACTGAAGATGGGCACGCACCAGATCTCATGTGGACTTATTGCCAGAAAGCTATAAGAATTTTCAAGTTTCTGACCCATCTCAGGACATAAAATGTAATGATTAATGCTACTGCTCATTATAGATACTTTAGATGTTATAAACGTAGAAAAACTCTTCCCTGCTTTCTCCCAGCCTCTGTTTGTGATGGGCTAACATGGTAATTCCACCTTCCACATACCTTTACAAGGAAGATTGCTTTCCTTCAGCCGATGCATCTCCATTGCTCCACTAATGCTCTAGTGGTTAAGCATGGGGGCCCTGGACTCACACCCTTGAATCCTGACCCTGCCATTAATTAGTTGGGTTTTTGTGGCAATCCAGATACCTAAGTATTATATTGTGTCATACTGGTTCTCAAATGTTACCAGTAAGAACAGTTTTATATTTTTATTTCTTAATCTTGAAATTGTTGTGCCAGAATCTAAGTCAAAAGGCTGAACTGCAGTTGTTGCCATTTGTTCCAAGAATACTTGGCAGTGTAAGCAGTGGCGCTCAGATTTCTTTGTTTGCTCTTGATGCTCAGAGTGAAGCTGCAGAGTAATGGTAGCATAGTGATTAGGAGGACAGGTTCCTGACTGTGCCCCTGAGGTCCGGAAACTCCAGGTTGGGGGTGGGAGGGTGCAGTGCGGGGAGCACACACACTCCAGAGCCTGACTGTCCAGATTCAAATCCCCATTTACTAACTGTGAGACCCCGGGCAAGTTACTTCTGTGTATTATTATTCTGTCAATTCAGCTAGAAGTATATGCCCATCTAAGTTTTAAATAGGAAGTGATTAATATTTATTTTCCTTATTTAGTAATACAGTATGTGGCTAAAATGCCTGTAGAAGTGACTAGGATGGTTGGAAACCCTTACTTTACCAACTGATTTTTAAGCATCTTGGAGCATTTATCGTAGCTAAACATTTATGGAGGTCTCCCGTCAGGACTAAGAGGTGAGTAGTAGTATCCTCATTTACATGTGGCAAAACAAAGACTCTGAGGTCACGTCAAGCTGCCCTAAAGTCATATAGATAGTAAGTAACAGAGAAGGGGTTCAGATCAGGTTTCTGATGCCAGAGCTGTTGTAACCACTGTGAGAAATGGACATTTCTCTCTTTTACCTTTGCTATATTCTAAGTTTTAAATTGTAGACCAGCCCCTCTGTGTTGATAGCATTCACTTATTGGTTTTCCTAATGCTTGTGCTTAGTCCTGATCATCTTTTCATTTTCTTTTTTTTCTTTTTTTTTTTTTTTAACACGTTGGCATACTCTGTCCTAGGCCTTCGGTCCTCACTCTCTGGGCTTTCATGACCTTTCATGTGCTGATAACTAGCAGGTCTCCTCCTGCCTCCTTCTCCTTGCATCAAGTGCACACCTATATATGCAGCTAGTTTGTGGACATCTTCACTTGTATACCCCATAGATATTTCAACTACATTTCTAAATTTAAACTTTTATTCCACCAATATCTCTTTTCAAAATGAATGAATAAATAAACAAGTGAATTCCCTTTCCATCCCTGCAGCCAAAAAAAAAAAAAAATGTTGGGCTTGGAGTGAACAATGGGGAAGGTAAAGACATAAATGCCTAGCTACAATATATGCAGGGTGGCGCCAAAGAAAGAACCTGCCTTCCCTGAGTCTTAAAAAGTTACTTCTCAAAGCAGCCTTCCCTGCCCTTCAGGGTTCCTTTCCCCCACCACCATCAACCCTAATGTACTTTTCCTCATAGCACCCTTTTCTTCCTGGCACTTGCTCTAATTTGTTACTACAGTTGATTCCATGTTTGTTTAATGTGCTCCCCCTCCCCCATTTGTTAATTCTGTAAGGACATGGATTAGAGTCTGTTTTATTTACTAGTTTATAACCAGCAGTAGCACAAGGACTGGCAAGAAGTAATAAATGAGTATTTGAGGAGTGAATCAGTCTAAAGGAGACTTTAGAGGACTGTCTTTCCTAAATTTTTTTCCCTTACACTTGCCCGCAACAGAACTCTTTAGCTATTTTTCTGTCCTTTAACAGAGTTTCCTGAGATCTTTCTGGAGTCTACTAAAAGTTTTATGAATCTTACCAATGGAAGAACTTTGTGTCATATTCAAAAGAAAAATGTAGCAAATAATACTAGTAGTGATATCTGGTTATCTTTTGGATAAAAAACAGACATAGTTATTTTTTCTCCAAACATAGAGCAAGAAGTTTTATACAGGGCTGTGTTTAGAATGGGAGTTTGTAGATTCATCTACACACTGCAGCTCTTGTGATGCTGAACACCCCAGCAAAGAGCCGTTTGCTCACAGTGATGACCCCGAGGCATCTGATGATCCTGAGTGCTTTTTAAAATCAATGATAAAAGTAGGGGTTTTTTTTAATCAGTGATTTAAAGTTGAAAACAAAGAACCAGAATGTACAACCTGGAATATCTTATTAATAGAAACATAATTATAAATAAAGGATTTGTTAGAATAGATAAAAGTGACATTCTGGTTCAGATTCATAATTCATTCTCCCAGTGTGTTGACAAAGATGAAAAGAAATGTTTTATGAGACACATGGAAACAAATTAAATCTAGACTGAAAATCTTTTAATTCAAAATGAAAAATATCTGTTCTCAGTAACAGGACACACTTTTCATGATTAAAATAATTTATATTAACTGTTATTAGAAAGTTGATATAGAGAAATCATCTACCCAGGAATAAAGGGTAATTTTTCTATTACATGCAAAATAAAATTGGCCTGTGAAGAAAGAAGACAAAGTTAAGTTTCTCTCCCCACATTGGAAGAAGTGAAATATCACTCTCTAGTTGGGAGAAGCTAGTCCAACTGTCAGACACCTAAGGGATTTACACTTTTAGGTAAGTGACTTACCAAATAATAGTCAGGTGTTGTTTATCAGGTACTGTATGCTTTACATTCATGATTTTATTTCATTCTTAATTCAACTATATGAGGTGTGTGCTGCGTTATCCCAATTTGATAAATGGGGAAAATGAGTAGAGTCTGGGGAACTAGTCCGGATACACAGCTTGGAAGTTCAAACCTAAGGTCTCTGATTCCAAAGAGTCCAAGTGCCTAAATCATTTCTGCTTCCAAAGAAAATTTCATGAACTCTTAAGAATTTAGGAGATACTAAGTAACTTTTAGGCAAAGTTACAGATGAATTACACAAATGTGACTGTTCAAGCAAGAAACAAAGTTTGGGTCCCAAGAAATGCTTACTTTTTACAAGTTAGTTCTACCTGTGATATTATTTGATTAATACACGTTTGGTGGAATAGCCAAAAATAGGTGTTTCTGATGAGCCAAGAGACTGGGATGATGCAATCTCCATAAAGATTGTAATCTAACAAACTATCTGTCAGGAAAGTATAGTCTTTAGAACTCTTGGGTTGGGTTGATAATGATCAGAGAGGGAGGAAGCAACACGCACGACAGTCTTGCTAGTTCCTGCCCAGAAGGGATGAGGAAGTTGAGCTGTAGACTGACATTTGCCACAGAATCTTGCAAGTGTCAGCTGGTAGTGAGACAATGGTTCTAACACTGCTCTCTGTCTGTTCAACCATCCAGGTGATGGAGGCTAACATACTTACCCTCATTAGTCTTCCTCTCGAGACAATAGGGTTCTAAGTAAGTAGAAGCAGACAGTGCAAACAAAAGTGAAAATGTCAGCGCCGATCCTGGAATTGCACACTGTCTCCTTTTTGTTCATCCACCCCAGTAGCTGAGCCTGGAACACTTCCTAGAAAGAGAGAGAAGAGACAGGTGCTAAGACAGTATAACTTTATATAGCACTTTAGATGTTGGAAGGTGCTTTTACAGCACCTTAAATTTAAACTCCACATAATGAAGGAAATGAACATTAAGTGTAAATTTTAAATATGGTAATACATGAAAAATGTATAAGTGATTGAAACTAAAGTGGCTAAGTAACATTGTAGAATTATCAAAATGTTAGCAACTATAGTTAGAGTGGATTTAAATTATTCTAATCCAATTTGTCACACCATCTGTTAAGATTCTGATAAGGGGAATTAACCCATTAAACCCTGAACCTTGAATTCACAGTTTGTAACAAAAGAAGACTCTTTATATACAAATAATTCTAAACTAGTGTATTTCCGTTAAATACTATTTCCATTAGCTTTTTGGCATTATTGTCTCAACTGTATAACAATAAGGCAAAAT